CAATCGCGTTGTGATAAATGAATGAAATTTGGTATACACAGCTAAATTTTGATGAGCAATTTGATGGACTAATCCATTTATTTCCACAAGGTCCATTGGGGTGGGTACGGGGGGGCCCTTGGTACTTTGCGTGTGTAACTTTTTCATCTTTGACTTTTTAACAAATTGGACAGCAAATTCCGTTTTCCCGAACTGTTTTACGTTAAAAAGGTACTCTTGTTTCAAATCGTTATCTTTAACGGTTTCTGAGAAAATCGCTCTTGAATTAATCCCACTTTGGTTAATTTCATAGTAATTTAAACAAAAAAAATTTTTTGTTTAAATTTAATCTAATTTTAATAAAAAAATAATAATAAAAAATTAAATTAAATAAAAATTAATCCTTTAAATGGAAAAGAGAGGAAAGGAAAATTATTATTTTTTTTTGTATTTTTCGGTATTAAACTTTTAACTTCTTTTAGAATTACTGATAGACATTTACTTAGACGAGACATTTTAAACTAGATTTCGACAAAAGTTCGCGTCTAACAATTAACGTCAATGTGACAGCAATAACAAATCACCACGGCTAACATTGGATTTCAAAATTTCAGGATTGATTTTTAATTCTATCCAATTTTGGTGTGAAATTTTCTAAGCGAATAGTAGACGTGCTTAAATCATTTTTGTTATCCCTCATCTTCAATAGGGGGTAACTTTCAAGATATTCGTGACATAGAAAAAAATTCCGGAATCTAAGCACTAGTGAAAATATGTATATTGAAAATTCAGACTTATACATCAAAGCTGGCAGTAAGGATTTTGCTCCAAAGTGGCAGTTGTTTGCGGTACTTTGTCAATATCTAGGAACTTTACAACCAATTCGAAATAAAAATAAACGCTAATTGTAAGTTTATCCGGCGGCATTTGAAAACTTGCGTTACAACAAGGGAAAACACAAAAATACACACTTTGCTCATGCAATTTTTTAGCCTCATGTTAAATTCTTCTAATAAAGTCTCTTCTAGGTTGTCGTCGTCGTCACTTACTATTCTCGATTGCTTCACTGTCTCCGCCATCTGAAAAAAAAAAACTGAATTATTACCGATATCAAATATAGAGTGACGTCTAGTCTATATTCATTAGAAACGGCGACACAGTTTACTGTGTAGAATATGTGATTAGTAGCGAGAAAAACTAATAAACAAAAAACTTGTTGAGAACAGGTACATTTAACAGAACTTAGACTGTGGTGCGCCAAACTTAATTCAACCAGTTAATTTACTTCTTGGTTTCCTTGTATAACATTTTTGCCGCATGTGCACATTCATTCATTGTACATAAAATTCGCTTTTAACATTTACCATTCGCGAAAACCACCATAATTCGTTTTGAATACACGATGATACATTATTAATAATATTAAATAAGTACACTTAAAAGAAAAACACCGTCCGTGAAGATAACAAATCCTCACAAATTAGTCAAAGTTGCATGACGATGGTGACGAATGAACATAGAAATCGATAATAAGTAGCTCTTAACAGACTCCCAATCAGTTTACTAGTAAATATGAACATGTTTACACAAAATACACTAGTCACAAAAATTAAAATATTAAAAGATCCTAAACTTTAAAAGGCTGTAACTTCTCGGAAAATGATCGTAGAGCAATAAAAACAAAGCAAATTGAAGCTTGAAATTTCTAGTTTCAGTTTTATCGTACAACTCTCTTGAACAGCTTAAATTAAAGAGGATGAATTAAACTAAAAGAGCTGACAGGTGGGATTGCCAAAAATATACAGGGTGGGCCATTAGTGTGAGAAAGTATATTAACTCCCTTGGTACTCATAATACAGAAAAAAAGGTTATATAAAAGTTATACAGAATTAAGAAACCTAAACTGCAAAATTAATTTGATACATACAGGGTGATGAGTAAAAACGGGACAAGTCAAATATTAAGTACATTTTTTAAATGTAACACCCTGTATATTTTTACACATATGGATTTCCGAGAAAATTCTATATATGGCAATATAAACAGTTTATCATATTAGTGTGGGGGTGCCAAGTTATTTAGAAAATTCCTCGAATTTTGGAAAAAACATGACCTCGAAGAAGTTTTATTAACTTTCAGCTACTAACACTTGGAACAAAATAATTAGACAGAGCTATAGGCAAATGTTAGACAAAGGCTTTTATATTAGCTAATATCGATATTTTATACAGGGCATTTGTTATAATACGATCATTTTTAGAAAGTTTAAACTTGATTTCCTAAAATTTTTCAAATGGAACACCCCCTATTTTATTGTTCTATTTTATTCACATATCGGTCCACTTTAACTTTTATTAAGCATCTTCTATATCTAAAATTGTTACTTTTTAAGATATAGCAACATTTTTTAAAAAACTTATTTTTTATTATTTTATAGAATACCACAAAAATAAATATTAACTAATAAAATTAACTCAAAATGGAACGATAAATTATGAACTGACAAGTTGACACAATGTGAGTTTTGTCCAAAGCCATTTCGTGCGACCGAAAATAATAAAAATTAGGTTCTTCCAGAAATGTTGCTATATCTTAAAAACTAATAACTTTAGGTGTGGAACATACTTAATAAAAGTTGAAGTGGAGTAATATGTGAATAAAACAGAACAATAAAATACAGATTGTTCCATTTGAAAAATTTTAGAAAATCATGTTTGAACTTTCTTAAAATGATCGTATTATAAAAAATGCCCTGTATAAAATATCGATATTAGCTAACATAGAAGTCTTTGTCTAACATTTGCCTATAACTCTGTCAAATAGTTTCGCTCCAAGTGTTACTAGTTGAAAGTTAATACAACTTATTCGAGGTCACGTTTTTTCCAAAATTCGAAGAATTTTCTTCATAACTTGGCAACCCCGCACTAAAATGTTAAACTGTTTATATTGCCATATATAGAATTTCCTCAGAAATCCATGTTTAACAATACATAGGGTGTTCCATTTAAAAAATTTAATATTTGGCGTGTCCCGTTTTTACGCATCGCCCTGTGTGTTTCAAATTAATTTTGTCCTTTAGGTTTTTTGATTCTGAACAACTTTTATATAAACTTTTTTCTGTATTACGAATAACAAGGGAGTTCTTTTACTTTCTCATACCAATGGCCCACCCTGTATATTGAAGCCCGTGGACTTTTTGAAAGAAAAGCAAAAATTTTGAAAATGATAACAATTTTTGACTTTCAGATCCTGAAACTACTTTCAATTTGCATTTTTTATCGCCATTTGAAAATCACTTAAAAATTTAGGATTTTATTTTTTTTCCTTTCATTTGTGTGACTAGTTTATATAGCAACTCAGTTAGTAACGCTGAATACAGTCCGTACGATAAGTGTTGAGACAGAATTCCAAGAAGACCCCTGCGTCAATTTCTTGGAATTAATCGCATTCGACCCCCGGGGAAGAAAGACATTGGCGTAGCGTTCACCGTAACAGCTTGCAGTGCATACTGTGTTTTGCAGTGAAGAAGGCGTTTCTTCGAAAGAATTCTTGGAACCCTATCTCGACAAATATCGTACGGACTGCATAAAAATTAAGAAAATAGTGAACATTTGTTTTTAAGTACATATGCCCTCTAAAACCGCGCATATTTAGAAACTATAACTTCATTAAAACTGCAAATCATGTGCCTATATTTTCTCCAGTTTTTGGAAAATGTTGATTTAGTTATTTTTTATTCATCGGAAAGTTCTTGAAAGCTTTCATTACCTTCCATGTGGAAACATATCTGAAAAAGTACATGTACGAATTTAAAAAAATAATATCACTGTAAATATTTACAATTCTGAAAAATTACACTGTACTCATTTACATTAAAAATTATACCCACAGTTAAAATATACAGGGTCGGAAAGTCCCCATGGTTCATCGGCCTTACGTGAGAGCGATAAAGAAAGTAATAGAAATCCATGCGATAGAGAAAGATGGCTATAATGAAGGCGTCTAATAGTCCCCGCCCATTTCGCCCTTCCACAAATAAGATCCACGTCTTATTTGTGGAAGAGCGAAATGGGCGGTGAGCTTCATTATAGCCATCTTTCTCTATCGCACGGATTTTTATGACTTACTTTATCGCTCTCACGTAACGGCCGATGAACCATGGGGACTTTCCGACTCTGTAGGTATAAACACATTTAAGATTCACAAATACTTTTGTACAACCAATAGACACCGGTGAAAATATTACAGAAGTAAATCAGTGAAACCTTTAATGCAAATCTAGACACTGTTATCGGTTTCTCTAAAAAATAATTCCCTAGAAAAACGCATTAATTCAAATACGTCCTTAAACTCACAACACTTATTAATATTATGTGAATATTTTTATCTTTCACTAACAATTTTCTTTTTTTTTGTCGAGTAATCATAATAGCACCAGCAAGAATGTGGTACATCGAGGAATATAATAATCGAAAAGGATGTCCTACCAATTAGATTGACTAGAGGCCATTAAATCTTAATCAAAAAACGTTTTATAAAACTAAATTAGACCGATATAATAAACAGATAAACTATTTTGTAACAACTGAGGAGAAGCAGTGGCGCCTGGTGAAGGGTTTGGGGGAGGCAGAAAAACGAAGAGAATTCTTTTGAAATACAGTTTTTCGAGTCGTACCATAGGAGCTCGGTTATTTTAATAGACACAAGGTGGATTAGATAAGGGCAAATTCATGGAATTTGATGACGATTAACTTGCCGAAGAAAAATTCGATCATTCTTCTTTAATTTTGATGTTATCGGCGAAAAAATGAAAATTATGATTTTCGTCCTTATTTTTCTAATTCAAACGGAATGAGGTGGATTTTTAAAGCTCAGACATTTTTTGTGGCATCAAATTCAAATAAATTTTTAAATACCAACTTTCCGGAAAGGTGAATAAGACGAAACGATATGAACCCTCTGGACATTTTTGTTTGGGAGTGTATGAGACCAAATGTGTACACCGAATGTCTATTGTCGATGCAGCAGATCTTCAAAGCGTATTTTTGCTGCAGCTAATGAAATTCGACAAATGCCGGGATATCAAAGTTATAGTTTTGCCGAAGTCAGTTGAACATGTATAAAAACGCCTAGCAATACAATTTAATGAGTTTCATAGACGTCCCTAAAAAAGTTTTACATTGGCAATGCTATCAGATTTGATTATGTCGCTAAGTTGGCAGTGCAAACAACGACCAATAGTAATGACCAGTCGCTTAGGCGAAAATCCTACTTACCTGTTGCATAAAGCTATTAAAAAAAAAGACTTACAAAATATGGTTTAAATTAGAGGTTTTATGTCATGATTCACGTCATTCAGGATGTCTATACATGTAGTCAATGAAATCGAAATTATTTTTTAATTTATTCCTCTCCTATTAGTGGTACGTGGTCGCGAACGTCACGTACTGTCAAAATAATATTCCTTTTGTAATTGGACCTTGGTAGAGTACCATGACCCACTGCAACTCTTCGTTGGTGCATCATCGTATTTACAACATAAAAACTAACGTAAGTCTATTGGGTATTGTTATTTTACAACATCCTAGGGAAGTTGCCGAACATTTTGCTCTACAGGGTGAAACTTAAATTTGCATATATGTTTCAATCCAACTCTACCATTTTTTTTAGGGAAAATTTTGAAAAATTGTATATTAGTCATTTGTTTATCTTAAATCTAATAATGCAACGTTATTCTCTTATATCTCGTTATCAATTTTAATCAAAATCCATTCATTTTTATGTATGAAAAAATAGTATGTAACAACTATTATAGTTTTTCCGAAGTCAGTTGAAGATGTATGAAAACGCCTATCAATAAAATTTAATGAGGGGTCCCTAAAAAAGTTTTCTACTAAAAGTAAAAAATTATAATAATTTGTATATAATGTGTAGAAAATTTCTATTATATGTTCATTTGACCAACAATATATTTTAATTATTTATTTATGTCCTCAAACAATTTTATTATATTGATGGTAAATTTCGTTTTGTTGCATTTCAAATGGTCTCCAAAATTCCATGTTGTAATAATATTTGT